TGTTAAATAAAAATATTATCTGTTCAAATTTTAATTTGTATATATTATTATCTTGTCTTTTTACCCAATTTAAATATCTATTGACTGAAGAGTTTTCAGCTTTAATCATGTATGGCTATAGTAACTCGTATGTAATAGCATGTCTATAAATATTGCAAATCGAGTCTTATGATTTATGATGGTCAGTGCATTTTTTAAAAAATCTAAGCTGATTTTCTGTTAGATATCCTTGACTAATTGTGAATTGCTTAATATCAATAGCCCTAAATAAAAAATTTAGATCAATTGAATTATAATTACTGAATTAAGAAAAAAAAGGTAGAAGAGAAAAAATAACCAATTTAATTTTACAAATACCTTTAGCATGTTTATTTCTTCATGTAGAGCTCCAGAAATTAGAATTAGTCATGGAAAGTCTTTTTTAATCTTTTGAGCAAGATTATAAGGAACTCTATCACAAACGACTGGTAACTATTTTCAAGCACTTTGGTTTATGTTTGCAATATTTTGTATATGCTCTAAAACTTTTCTAACATTATTCACTGAATTAGGATTTAGTCCTAACAGGTCTGGTATTTACATTTCTAGAATTATAATACTTTAGTTGAGTTTACTTGTTTGTATAATACTAATATGTTTGAAGTTAGATATAGTTTGCTTATAAGTAGGAGGATTATGAGGTTTTATGATAATGAGTTTTGGTTGAGAAGCTATATCACTAATTTGACTTAATTATTAGCTGATTCTATTCATAATATAGCTAATGTATCTAATTTTTCATTACACTGAGAGCAAGTATGTTTTTTGTTATCAATATTTGTTGTATTATCTTTTTTATACTATTTTGATTGATCACTAACACCTTTCTGATTTTTTATTATTAGATCAATCAAATTTGGGGTTTTTTTTTTTTTATTATTAAGTTTGTTTAAAACTGAAGATAAATAAAGAATTAATTCAATTTTATATTCAGCTTTCATTTCTGGTGTAAGATAATATAATTCTTTATATTGAAGATCATTTAGTGAATTATAAAGCTAGGGATTTGTTGCAAATTGAACTAGATTATTTTTATTTATGTTAAATATAACAAAGCTTATTACTGTATAATAAATTACAGTATTATATCCTCAGTCAAGATAATTATATTGGCCTTGTTATTCATTATCGAAAGCCAAAAATAAAAGGCCTTCAGGTATAGATTCTTGTTCAATTGATAGAGATTCTAACCAATTAATGAACTTTACATAACTTCTGAAACTAACAATATGATTATTAATATCGACTACTATTTTAGAATATACTAAAGAGTATTTAATAGCTGATATAGCTAAATTTATTTCAGACACATATTTTTTATGTCTTGATCTATAAATTGCATTGATAGCAACTATTTTTTTGAAAAACTTTTCTTTTATAGTCAACTCGTTTTTACTATTTTCATTATTATGAGTAAGAGTTTCGATAAAATCTACAATAACTGAGTTATGGCTAGTTAACCAATTACTTGGTACATAATTTAATAAATTATCAAGAGAAAAATATTGTTTGTCCAAAATTAATAAATCAATATCATTATATGCATTTTGGCATTCTTTATTTGCGATTTGAATAACTGCATCAACTCTTTTTTCTTGACTATTATATCTGGATTCCTACTTAGATACTAACTTATTATTTTATTTAACTAATTCTTGATTTATTTTATTTAACT